AGATAGAGGTTGAAAATCAACTTGGCAAGAAAATTAAAGCACTTTGATCGGATCGAGGTGGCGAATATTTGAGCCATGAATTCGACGATCACTTGAAAGAACATGGCATTCTTTAAGAGTTAGAATGGCCTAGCATGGAGAAGTGCTAGGCTGCCAGCAGCACCAGCGCCTAGCATGGCCTAGCACCAGGCATGCGAGGCTGCTAGCCAACACCATGCTAGCTGGCGTGCTAGCTGGCAGTAGCCCAGCAAGCCCTTGTAAGTGGCGGTTTGAGGGAGTGGGGACCAATTGGCTTAGAGCATGCCTTGGGGATCAAGGCAATGGTCCCCCCAAGGTTTATGGTCCTCACCTAACCTTCTCTCTCTATTTGACACTTGTTGCATTGTGATTAGTTATGTTTAATAATTTATTTTAGAAATAAATTCATTAGCAAAAATACGTTCTCCCACATTGGTGGAGGATGAAAAATCAAGGGAACATTTCTCTATAAATACCAAGCTTGGTATTGGGATTTGTCAGAACCTTGAGTGGAATTGAAAAGGCAACTCTAAGAAAAGAGTAAACCTTTGATTCGTAAAACTCATAGTTATTTTGTCCAGGTCTTGACTAACCTTCAAGACTTAGGACGCTCGGGTCGAGTCGAGGGTACGATCCGTTGGAGATCTCGTCTTTTCGGGATTTTGAAGTAAGAGCTCTTTGGGAGCGAAGCGCGCGTCAAAGGTATAATTCTTGTCCTTAATCTTGTTTGATTAAGTTTATTATGCTTGTTTAATTGCTTTAATTAAGGGGCGGGTCTTGGTGGGTTTCCTTCCGCGTAGTGTCGGGTCACTACGAAACCCAACAGCGGTATCGGAGCCACGCTCCTTTTAGTTTTTGCAATTATTGTTTAATTAAGGTGTTTTAAAGAATTTAATTTTCTGGTTCATGTTCATCTAATTAGATTAGATGCTCGTTTTAATTAATTTTAAAACTCGATTTTATTTTCGATTTGGCTGTCGAACCCAGATTTTGGCTCATAAATAGTGATGTTTGGGTGGAATCGACATTCTGGAACTGTTTCAGTCCTTTTAGGGTTGTCCAAAAGCCAAATTCGAACCAGAAACAAAATATTTCTGGGGTTTTTCGTTTTTCAACGAAAGTTTTAATTCTTTTTAAGCCTTGATTAATGCAAGCATTACAAGGTTAGATTAAATGCACATTTGCATCACTAATCTACTGGTTTTAAAATATCCTTGAGCATAATAATGGAGTGTTTATTAGTGCTTAAGTTGATATACCAAATTATCTTATAAACTTGTTTTTCACAAATTTTGCAAATAAATTGCAATAAGGTGTGAAAATTTGTTGTGATTTTGTATTTTAAGTTCCCATATAATGTTAAAGTTCTAATCTTTAAGTGTTTAAATGATTGGAACCCTAACCCTAAATTCCATGTTGAACAAAGTTTGAATTTTTTCATATTTTGGTTGAATGAAATCCATTAAGTTCAATTACTTGTGAGTAAAATTTGATTAATCTTTATATTGGAAGATGTAAACTTGGTATTTTACACAAGTATGAAAGTTGGAAATTTTATCATTGGATGGTTAACTTATTTTTCCAACTCCCTTTTGTCAAATCCATTATTAATTTGCATATTGGCAAGATTAATTTTGGACATAGCTCATTTTATTTTAAGCATAATGTTTGACCTAATTTTGTTCAAAATTGAATGGTTTTTATTTTAAGCATTATGAATGGTTTTTCACTTCAAATTCTTTCAATTGTAGAAATCATGTCTGCAAGTAACACAAACAACAACCAATTCTCTTTGCGCTCAATTCTCGACAAGGAGAAGTTGAGCGGGCCAAACTTTCTTGATTGGCAAAGAAATCTCCGCATTGTATTAATGCTGGAGCAAAAGGAATACGTCCTTAATGAGGAAATGCCCGACGCTCCCAATGAGGAGGTCACTCAGGAAGCCCTTAACCGATGGCATAGTGCCAATCCGGATGTCAAATGCATTATGTTAGCCACAATGTCTCCGAACCTTCAAAAGACTTTCTTTGAAAAGGAGACAACTTTTGAGATCATTTCTGAGCTTCAGAATATGTTCCAAGAGCAGGCCCAAACTGAAACGTTCGAAACCCACAGGCAGATCCTTGTGAGCAAGCTCAAGAAAGGAGAGCCAGTCAGCTTGCATGTTCTCAAGATGATTGGATTATTTGAAAACATGGAAAGGCTTGATGCTGGGTATTCCACTGAAATGGCAATTGACATCTTTCTCCACTCCCTTCATAAAGGCTATGATCAGTTCAAGATGAACGATAACATGCATAGTACGGAGAAAACCCTCACCGAGCTTCATGGTATGTTGAAGCAAGCCGAGCAAACCCTCAAGGATGAGGGCAAGCATGACATGCTCATGGTGAGGAAGGGCAAGCCGTTCAAACGTGCGGGCAAAAAGAAGAGCTTTAAAGGGAAGAAGAAGAAATTCCCGCCTAAGTCAAAGTTTGCCAAGGGCAACAAGGACAAGAAGGCAGCTTCTTCTAAGTCTGATTCCGAATGTTTCTACTGCAAGAAGAAGGGACATTGGAAAAAGGTCTGCCTCAAATTAAAGGAAGATAAGAAGAATGGCAACGTTGCTTCTTCATCAGGTATTTTCGTTATAGACTTAAACTTCGCTAGCAAAACATCATGGGTATTAGATACCAGATGTGGCTCACACCTTTGTTCCAATGCTCAGGGATTAAGGATAAGTAGGAGGCTAGAGAACGGAGAGGTCGAGCTTCGGGTCGGCAACGGAGCAAGGATAACTGCCGTCTCCGTTGGAACTCTAAGTTTGTCTTTTCCCACAAGGCTTGTTCTAGAACTTGAAAATTGTTATCATGTTCCTAGAGTGACCAAAAACATTATTTCAATATCGGCGTTGGACGCCAAAGGATTCAAATTTCGAATCAAAAACAATAGTTGTTTTATATATTTTGATAATGTTTTATATGGAAAAGCACATTCAGAAAATGGTCTTTATGTGCTGTCACTAGACAAACAGGTCTATAACATCGAGAATACTGCCAAAAGGGCTAAGACCATCGAGTCGAATCAAAACTACTTGTGGCATTGTCGTCTTGGCCACATTAACATCAAACGCATCAAGAAACTTCTTCAAGAAGGTGTTCTTGACTCATTTGACTTAGAGTCATTTGAAAATTGCGAAGGATGCTAATTAGGCAAGATGATCAAACAGCCATTCTCCAAGTTGGGAGAAAGGGCAACTGACTTATCAGGTCTAATACACACGGATGTATGTGGACCTATGAGCACACCCGCAAGGCAAGGTTACCGATATTTCATCACCTTCACCGACGATTATAATAGATATGGCTATATCTACTTAATGTCGAATAAATCTGAATCCTTTGAAAAGTTCAAAGAATTTCAGATAGAGGTTGAAAATCAACTTGGCAAGAAAATTAAAGCACTTTGATCGGATCGAGGTGGCGAATATTTGAGCCATGAATTCGACGATCACTTGAAAGAACATGGCATTCTTTAAGAGTTAGAATGGCCTAGCATGGAGAAGTGCTAGGCTGCCAGCAGCACCAGCGCCTAGCATGGCCTAGCACCAGGCATGCGAGGCTGCTAGCCAACACCATGCTAGCTGGCGTGCTAGCTGGCAGTAGCCCAGCAAGCCCTTGTAAGTGGCGGTTTGAGGGAGTGGGGACCAATTGGCTTAGAGCATGCCTTGGGGATCAAGGCAATGGTCCCCCCAAGGTTCATGGTCCTCACCTAACCTTCTCTCTCTATTTGACACTTGTTGAATTGTGATTAGTTTTGTTTAATAATTTATTTTAGAAATAAATTAATTAGCAAAAATACATTCTCCCACATTGGTGGAGGATGAAAAATCAAGGGAACATTTCTCTATAAATACCAAGCTTGGTATTGGGATTTGTCAGAACCTTGAGTGGAATTAAAAAGGCAACTCTAAGAAAAGAGTAAACCTTTGATTCGTAAAACTCATAGTTATTTTGTCCGGGTCTTGACTAACCTTCAAGAATTAGGACGCTCGGGTCGGGTCGAGGGTACGATCCGTTTGAGATCTCGTCTTTTCGGGATTTTGAAGTAAGAGCTCTTTGGGAGCGAAGCACGCGTCAAAGGTATAATTCTTGTCCTTAATCTTGTTTGATTAAGTTTATTATGATTGTTTAATTGCTTTAATTAAGGGGCGGGTCTTGGTGGGTTTCTTTTCGCGTAGTGTCGGGTCAATACGAAACCCAACAAACTGGGCTAACCCACTTGCTATCGGAGATAGCATAAATGATGCCTGCTTCACGCAATTTCAAGATTTCTTTTTTTACAACCTCTTAGAGGTTGGTGTTCAACCTCCTTTGAGGTTCAATGGAGGTGGATTGATCATCCTCAAGGTGAATACGATGCATGCAGAAAGAAGGGCTAATATCCTTGATATCATCAATGCTATACCCTATCACATTTCTATATTTTCTTAAAACAACAATCAATTTTTCCAAATCAAGACCATCAACGGAAGCATTGAAAATAATAGGGTATTCCCCTTCATTCCCAAGATAAGCATATTTCAAAGAAGGGGGAAGGGGTTTGATTTCTACCTTGGGAGGAGGCTTAGGACTCTCCTCCAATTTTTCCTCCTCAAGTTCTAGCTCATCATGCTTAGAATCATTCGCTTCCTCCTCTTTGGCTTCGTCAATGGCCATGGAAAACTCCTTTGCTTCTTGAGAGAATTACTCTTCCTCACATGTGAGAGCTTCAACCATTAGATCTTGAGGACTCATCATGACCCTTCCCAAACGATCTAGTTCTTCATTCACAACATCAACCCTATAGCACTTCTCAACCATGGGGGTCTTGAGGAGCTTAGAAAATTCAAAGACAATTTTTCCATCGACTACCTCACATGTAATGGTGTTGTTCTTGCAATTGATTACCGCCCCCAAGGTCTTAAGAGCTTCACGGCCCAAAATAAAAGGTGTATCCACATCTTATTCCATATCCATCACTACAAAGTCACAAGGCACATAGATATGCCCAACTTGAATAGGGACATCTTCAAGCTCACCACAAGGTAGCTTCACCAAACGGTCGGCCGATTGAATGGTTTTCCTTGTGGGGATCATCTCAATGTTAAGCTTTTGAGCAATGGATAGAGGGATCAAACTAACACTTGCTCCAAGGTCGGCTAAGGCACCCCTAGCTTCCATGTTCCCAATCTTAACCGGCAAGGTGAAGCTTCCCGGATCCTGAGCCTTCTTGGGCATTTTGTGTTGAAAAAGTGCACTCACTTGATGGGGAAGAGCGATAAGCTCTTCAATGAGCTTTTTCTTGTTGGTGAGAATGTCTTTCAAGAACTTGGAGTATGAAGGAATTTGTGTGACTACCTCAATGAAGGGGAGGTTTATGTGCAAGTTCTTCATCACACTTAGGAACTTTGTAAATTTGTCATTCAACTTTCTCTCCGCAATTCGACCGGGAAAAGGAACTGGTCCATCAAGATTTCTAGCTTCACTAGAAGTTGAGGATGTTACCACATCCTTAGACTTCTTTTTCTCCATACTACTATCTTTCTCATCAACCTTCACTTCTTCAACTTCTTTATCTTCACTCATCCTCTCTTCTCCTTCCTTCTTTTCCTTGCTATCCCCTTCCTTGGGACCCTCATGTGATTGTCTTGCAAGAGTCGGGTTTCACAATGTTGGAAGGGTTGGTTTATGATTGTTCGGGTAAAGTAGAAGATGAGTCGAAAGGAACCCTCTCGGCCAATTGAGCTAGTTATGAATCAACCATCTTGCTATGAGCCTTGACTTCTTGCATTTGTTGATTCATGGCTTGAAGTTGTTGAAGAATTTGAGTTTGAGTAGAATCGGGTAGAGACACTTGCTCTTGACTTCTTTGAGTTGCTTGGTTTTGATTTTGGTATTGGTGTTGGCTATTTTGTTGATGGTTCCTTGGGTAGTTTCCCCTTGGGTTTTGGTTTTGGTATGGAGGAGGGTTTTGGTATTGGGGGTTGGAATTGTATGGTTGTTGAGCTTGTTGGTTCCATTGTTGGGGTTGGTTTCCAAATCCGGGTGGTGGTTGTCTCCAAGCTACTCCTCCTCCATTTCCCCTAAATCCTTCTTGTCTTGTGTTGTATGCTGCTACATGCTCCGGGATTAAACCTCCATAATAGGATGTGTCATGGTTTGTACCACCACAATTTTGACAATAGAAAGAGTTGACTTCGGAGGAGCTTGCAGCACTAGTAACATTGGTGTTCAACTTTGCGAGCCCCTTTGTCAGAAGCTCGATTTGATGTTGCAATTGATTAACTTTTTCCAACTCATATTTTCCACCTTTCTTTGGCGCATTCCTCCTTCTACCTCCCCAAGAGTAGTTTTTGAATACCTCTTCAATTGGTGCTTCAACTTGATTTTGAGGGACTTTGATCAATTGTCCACCCACCCCCACATCATAGAATAACCTCATGAGTAAGCTTTGATTGTATTCATGGTGAGGACATGCTTGCACAAACTCTTTAAACCTCTTCCAAGCTTCACTAAGGCTTTCCTCTGCCTCTTGTTCAAAAGATGCAATCTTCCTCCTCATTTCGGCGGTTTTCTCTTCGGAGATGAACCTTTTCAAAAATGCTTGGAAAATTTCCCTCCATGTTGTGAGAGAATTAGGCTTGACTTGCTTGAGCCACTTCTTTGCCCTCCCCGCAAGAGATTGTCGGAATAGGTGCATCCGAATGTATATTTGAGAAACTTGCTTGGTTTGTATCATGGCACAGAGTTCAAGAAATCTATCAAGATGCTCAACAGGGTCTTCACTTGGCGAACCTGAAAATTGCTCCGCTTGAACCATTCTAGTGTATTGAGGATGGATGGTGAAATTAGTTTTCGTGACGGGTAGCAATATCCCACCGGTGACCTCATAATCCTCCGGATTACCGAACTCACGAAATAAAACATCGTCTTGTTGTCCTGCCATTTCGTCACCTTGGGAATGTGAGGACCAAGAATCACTTCCACTATAAAAAATGGCACCAAAACCTCGCCCCTCTTCTTGATAAAGTCTACGGACTTGTCTCAAGGTGCGTCGATATTGTGATCAATGTTGTGAGTAGGTGGTCCTTGAGATCTTTTTTGCATTCACCAAAGCTAAGCATACAATTAGCAATGACTAGCAAGTGGAAAAAGAACAATACAAAAAGAAACAAATCCACTAATAACGCAAATAAAAGTGCAAAACAAGCCGCTTCTCTGGCAACGGCGCCAAAATTTGATGAGGAATGAAATGTCGTCGTCAATACACCTTCCTATCAAATTAATCCTAGTTTACCTAAATGAGTACAAAGGCAAGCAAGCAAGGGTCGAGATCCACGGAGAAACGGGAGATTGCAAAGCTAAGCGCTAACAGTAGAGGATAAAAAAAAAGGGTGTATATGAATAAGAGAAGTGGAAAACAAGACAATGAATAAACTAAGCCTAACAAAATTACTCTAACAATTAACAAAGACTAACAAGTATTGGAAACTTTGAGATTAAAAACGCTAGGGGGATCGGGGAACGTCAAACTTGGAGATTAAGAGCTAAACACATAGATAATCAAGGATTCACAAACAAAGGATCAAAGATCCTACTTAACACAACTCATTCCCATGCAATTGATTAAGAAGTGTATAAACTACGATCCATCCTAACATGATCACTCCCGCGCATCAATTAAGACATGTAATAATATAGTCAATGGTGCACCACATCAACCGTATAACAATAAGCACAAGTTCATACAACAATGGTATAAATCCCCAAAGATCAAGTATTGAATCAAATAGCAACCAAGTCATCCATTCCCCTGCCCCTAGCTAAAAGTCTAGCCTAAGAGAGAGAAACTACTCATGTCAACAATACCCAAAATATTTGCCATAATCAAAATCATAAACATAACTATCAATTATACTTGAAATATGTAAATAAACCTAAATAAACGAGATTTAGATAAAAAGAGCTTACAAAGCTTTAACTTTGTATTGAAATAAGAAAATGGGTTTTTGAACCTTCAATGGTGAACCACCAAAATCCAATAGAATGCTCCAATATTGATTACAAGGATGATCAAAGCACTAATCTATATTAAAGACTAAAGTTTGGATGATAAAAAACTAATAATCTAAAATTTCTCTCTCTAGAAACTTATACAAGCATTAATGGAGGCTATTCTCTCTCTAGAAATGTTCTAAGCACTTTGCCCTAAATGGAATAGCTGCCTTCATTCATTCCCAAATCAGCTTTTAAAAGGGGAAGTAAACACGGGCTAACAGCGTGCGCGCCCTCTACAGTGCTTTGCGCGCTCGCGAAGGCTACTATGCGCGCCCTCTACTAATGTCTGCGCTCCCGTGAAGGCTACTGTGCGCACCCTCTACTAATGTCTGCGCGCCCGCAAAGGCTACTATGCGCGACCTCCAAAGGGCGCGATTGCCATCTACCAAAACTTTTCCTGATTTTTCAAGCCAAGATGCGCACCCTCTCCAGTAATCTTCGCGCCCGCGCAGGATAGTGTGCTCGCCCTCTCTAGGGCGCGAGGCATCTACGAGGAAAACAACCTGATTTCATCTCGATTGCACGCCCTTTCTCTTGGATTGGGCGCCCGCGCAGAGTGGGAGAGAGGGCTCTCCTGGGCGTGCAACCTGATCAGAAGTTCCTCACTTGATTTGCTCATGAAACCGACTCTCAAAACTATCCCGAACTTTCCTCTACTTCACGTATCGATCGGTTAACCTGCAAAACACTGGAAAAACACCCAAAAACAGTACAAAAAGGTAAAGTAGAGGGGAAGTACGAGGGAAATGGCATTGTTGTGTAATATATGGGAAAGCACGGCAAAATAGGGCTAAACAAGCGATAAATGAGGAAAATGGTAAGGAAATGAATCCCGAAGAGTGGCATAAATGCCACTTGTCATGCCCCCATAATAAATGCAATTAACAAGAAAAAATAATTAAACACAAGAAAGGATAAAAGATTATACCTTTGACGCGTGCTTCGCTCAACTATGAGCTCTTACTTGAACCCCGAAAATACGAGGTCTCCGACGGGATCGTACCCTCGAACCCGACCCGAGTGTCCTAAGTCTCGAAGGTTAGGTGAGACCCGGACAAATAAAACTAAGAGTTTTACGAATCAAGGTTTACTCAAATAAAGAGTTTCCTTTTAATTCCACTCAAGGTTGTATCTTCCCAATACCCATGCCTTTGGTATTTATAGGGAATTGCACCCTTGATTTTCCAATCTTCCACCAATGTGGGAGAGTTTGTGAAATCAATAATTTATTTAATTCCAAATTAAATAAATAATTAAGTTAATCACATTGCGACAAGTGGCACAATCACATGCTAATGAGTGATGACCAAGGTTAGGTGGGGGGGGACCATTTGCCTTGCCGCCCAAGGCCCCTTGATTGGTCCCCACAAGCAAGCACAAAACCGCCACATGGGCTGCTAGGCTAGCGACCAGCTAGCGTTGCCAGCTAGCACCAGCCAGCAACCTTGCATCCCCAGCCAGGCAGTGCGTGCTGGTGCTGGGCGATGCTTGGCGCTGGTGCATGCTAGTGCTAGGCACTGCTAGCACGCTATGTTGGCGCTAGCCTTATCACTCCCACGGATTGCCTCGCACATACTCGCATGCTACGCACAGCCATGCCGGCAAACCCCTCACGCATGCAAGGCCTAGCATGCGTGCTGCTAGTGAGCCACGCATGTTGGGCGATGGTACACACGCACACACGTACGTGCCTAGCACTATGATGGTGTTGTGCATGGTGCTAGGGCTGCGATGGCGCCTAGGCATGATGCTAGGGCTGCAATGGAGCCTAGGAACTCATGCCTCGCCTAGCAAACCATGGTGCGCCTAGCACACACATGGTGCGCCTAAGCTTGCGATGAGCTAGCCTAGCCTAGATACGGCTATGCTCGTACTTGTCTATTGTAATTTTGCGACGCTCGGCCTCAACGCCCTAGGCTCGATATTTGACGTCTATATTCGAAAAACTCTGTCGACTCATTAAATCCTTTTGGATTAATTCGTCGTCTCGGATCGGTTATTCGATTTGGTTCGACCCAAAGGGTTTAGTAAAGATTAAGCTGTAATATTAATTATACCTTAATATTACTGATCGGAAGCGGTCGCAACCTAGGCATTTCGATCACTTGACCTTACTGAAGAATTAGCTCTGTAATAATTCTGAACCCACTATCAAAATAATACACTTGTTGGAAGGACACCATTCCTTTCATTAACTTCATGCGTCTTCAACTGTCTCGATGCATAAGCGATCACTCTCCCATTTTGCTGCAGAACACATCCTAGACCATGCTTTAAAGCATCGTTGTATACCTCGAATCCATCTCTCCCATCGGGCAACACTAGTACTGGTCCAGTGGTTAGTCGCTCTTTCAGGGTTTGAAAAGCTGCGTCACAAATGTCGTTCCACTCAAAATTAATTTGCTTCTTCATAAGAGCGATTATGGGTCTGGCTATTCTCGAAAAGTCTTTAACAAACCTTCTATAATACCCAGCTAATCCCAAGAAACTACGAACATCAGTCACATTCTTAGGAGTAGGCCACTTACTTACTGCCTTGATCTTTGCAGGATCTACTGATATACCCTCCTTACAAATGTAGTGCCCTAGAAATGCAACCTTTTCCAACCAGAACTCACACTTTGAAAACTTGGCATACCGCTTGTTACTTCTACGAGTTTCCAGAATGGTTCCAAATGTTGAGCATGTTCCTCCTCATTCCTCGAATACACCAATATGTCGTCAATGAACATAACCACAAACGTATCTAAGTATTCGTGAAACACTCGGTTCATCAAGTCCATGAATATGGCAGGTGCATTGGTTAACCCAAAAGGCATGATTGTAAACTCGTAGTGCCCATAACGAGTTCTGAAGGCTGTCTTTGGAATGTCCTTATTTGCAACCTTCAACTGGTGGTACCTAGACCTCAAATTGATCTTTGAAAACACACTTGCCCCCTTCAGCTGATCAAACAAGTCATCTATCCTCGGTAAAGGGTACTTATTCTTCACAGTCACATTATTTAACTCTCTGTAATCAAGACATAGCCTCAAAATCCCATCCTTCTTTCTCACAAACAAGACCGGTGCTCCCCGAGGTGATGCACTAGGTCTAATGAACCCCTTATCCAGTAATTCCTACAATTGAACTTTCAGCTCACTCATCTCAGCTGGTGCCATTCTATAGGGCGCTTTAGAAATGGGTGTAGCTCCTGGAATTAAGTCAATGGTAAACTCAACTTCCCTTTTAGGTGGCATCCCTGAAGTCTCATCCGGAAAGACATCTAAAAACTCGTTCACAATGGGTACATCCTCAATCTTCCTATTGTCACCCTTACTCAAATCTTGGACACAACAACAGTACAATGGATACCCCTTACTTACCAACTTCTTAACCTTTAGAGAAGAAATGATCCTAATACCTTTCGGCTCCCCAAAACGTCTATAGGACACCGTCTTACCCAAAGGATCACTTAAGTGCACTCTCTGTAACTCACAGTCTATCTTAGCCTTGTATAAACTTAGCCAGTCCATCCCCAGAATGACATCCAAGTCCCCCAAGTTAAACTCAATAAGATTTGATGGAAAAACAGCCTCTCCTATTTTCAAAGGCAAGCCTTTGAATAACCTATTGCAATGAACAAGTTTGCCAGTAGGTAGACCGACCGACATATCGACATGACTTGACTCAGATAAGTTTAATTTGCGCACAACAGAAGTAGAGATGAAATAGTAAGTTGCTCCAGAATCAAACAAGACTTTGACAGAAACAAAGTGAATGGAAAAAGTACCAGTGACTACATTTGAGGACCTTTCAGCCTGTCCTTTGCTCATCACAGACAAATGCTCGGGAGTGTTGCTCTTTCCTTGGTGACCATTGTTGCCATTTCCTGAGTTGTTGTTGCCATTTCTAGGTCTGTTGCTACCATTACTGTTACCATTCCCGAACTTCCTAGTCTGACCATTGCCTCTTCCTCCCTGGTTATGAAAGGTGTTGGGCCTCTACTGGGTGTAACACTCATACTCCCTATTCCCCTTCTTATTGCAAAACCTACAAGTCACCAAATTTCCTTCACAGTCTCTTCCAGGGTGGTTTCTCCTACACCTCTTGCAGTTGAACTTCCTCTCGCCATTGTTAGCGTTAGAAAATCTGCTAACATTTCGGTTATTCCTCTCAGATGAGCCCCCAATCTTGAACCTTTTGAAGTGACCCTGGTTTTCAGAATTCCCAAAGTCCTTCCTCTTTTCTCCGACCTTAGCACTCTCCCCCACATCCCTAGAATTCAAATGGTACATGTGTGCAGCTTTCTCATACACCTTATCTAGGGTCTTAAAGACTTTCCCAGCTAGGTCTTTCTACAACTATTTAGTCAAACTGGGCTCAAACCTTTGTGCCTTCAGTTCCTCAGTCGGGACAACCTCAGGGGCAAACTTAGGAAAGGTAATAAACCTATTATAGTATTCCAAAATCGACATTCGGCCCATCTCTAAGTCAATGAACTCTTGAGCCTTCTGCTTCTTAAAAAATGGGGGGTAAAACTTATCCCTCAATGTAGTTTTAAACACTTCCCACCCAAAGTTTGGTTTGGCCTTGATTATTTCCGCATTATCACTTTACCAGATATCAGCCTCATCCTTAAGGTACATAGCAGCCTGGTCAACTTTCATACCATCAGGACAATTTAGTGCCACAAACAGCTTATCAAACTCTCGGACCTAGTTTTCCAAGAAGGTAGGATCGACACCTCCCTTGAAAACTGGTGGCCTAACTTGGGCCAACTTCTTGAGCATCTTAGCATGGGGATTAGGTTGGTCAGCTCGATTCTGATTCATATTCTCAGCTAACATACGGATGGCCTTAACTAAAAGTAGCAGTATTTGCCATTCTAGTTCTACGCCTGTAAGAAGGTAAACGTTTACTCTAGCTTAAACAAAATTCAAACGTCGTGCACATACATTCATTCAATCACAATATTATGTTTTATCACATAAATTGGTTCAAAATGGTACTTTGGTCTTTGCACCCCTTTGTCCCAAGTAAAACTAGACAATAATAGCACAATCCACACACAAGAATAAGTAAAGTTAAAAATAATTTCGATCCCGCGCTACTCTTACTCAACTTAATTATAAACAAGAAATTTCCTTAAAATTATATGTAATCACAGAACTTATATTGGTCTTGAATCAAACATATTATCAGAAATGGAATCCTACTAATAGAATAATAACTCTGATTATATCTCCAGTAAATGTATTAATCTCAATCCATAACTCTGTAGCTTTAGCTACTTATTAAAATTCAATAGTCAAAGTCAAAACTAAGTGAGGTTCTAATAACCATTATTGATAGCAAAACCTTACTAATACTAGTTATACTCTAATAAGCCTAATCTTTAAAGGACCACATTAGACTTCTTGTCTTTCTCTTCCTCATAAGTATTAATATAAAAAATAGGGTCATTCTCATCTTCGGAGTCCTCAATAACAACTTTGTAAAGCGGATTCAGATTCCTAGTAGTCCTCTTCCCAACTTGTGGTTTTGGTGGTTCTAAGTTCTCCTCTTCATCTGACAACTCGTTAAGGAATCTCTGAATAGCCTTCTTTCTGTCTTTCTTCTTAGTCATCCTGTACTCGTACCAACGTTGGTATGTCACCTCTCTTTCATTATTTTGATCTGGATGTAAGGTCCACTCATCCCAAGAGTCTGAGCTGTAATCGGTCTCCTCTTCTTGCTTAAGCTAAGTCACCTTCACTATATTTTTATCCATCTCTCTATGTTAACCCAACATAACAAGCATTCGAAAAGCATAACATGAACACATCAAGAAAGAAATTTAATTAGAACACTATCACACAATTTATTAACTATGCAACTTGCACAATAATTAAATAAATGCAAAGTAATCAATATGCATGCATGCCCTTTCTAATTCTACCCAATTCTCACCAAATAAATAATTCAAGTTTCAAAATTACTTTATAAACATTTAAAACAATTGGTTCGAACACAATTAAATTTTAAAATCATTTTTACTTTTAAATACAAAATCCTTAGTCAATTAGTTAGGCGCCTAAGACATACTAATTCGCTTTAATGGTAATTAAATCTAACCTAAGCTCCTAGATACCACTTTGTAACACCCTAGTAATTCTCTCTTTAAAACCTGTATTAACCGGTAATAACCTATATAACTTGTATAACCTGTAGTAACTTGTAGTCACCTGTTAACACTTTTCATAACCTGTGAGAGAATTATAGGCGTGTTACCGTCACTTGTTCAAACATTAAGGCAAGTCTCAGAAATCAGCAGCGGAAAACTAACTTAGTTTTAAAAAGAATATAAGTTTTAAAACTAGAAGTCAAAACTCAAAGTCTTACAAGTTGGAACCATAACGGCCCTTATTCAAAATCCAGTAAAATAGGAAGTAAATGGAATTAGAACCAAAATAAAAATTCAATCCATGATATAAAATAAACTAAGTGATTAGCCAACGCTCCACTCAAATCCCATCACCCTGATGTAAATCAGTTTAAGAATTAGATCATTACAGGGTCATTGAAGGCAAAGGCCATGACCAAGAGAAACACACAAAGGCACGCAATCAGCAACGCTAAGTACATACAAGCTACGAAATATAATAAAAAGTCATAGCATGATACTATCAAGCATTTCATACACTCACAATATAATTATTGACTCGAACACATGATTCAATTGTTATTTATCACAAAGTTTCTCTAAATAATATTTATCACTTCATTAATTTAATTGGATTAAGCAATGGACCGGGTTGTCCCCCTGTGCTCCATTCTGGAACATTAAATAAGAAAACCCTATGCCTCTTTTCGGAAGACATTGATAAACATCCAATGGCAGACGGGCGCGACTCCGTGGCCATAGCTAGTATGAGATCTCATCTAACTCATTATAATCTTAAAAGAATTTAAAACAAGAGACTCGTAGATCAAACGGCCTGTGAAAAGTGCACGGCTAATACACCGTGAACCCCAACCCCTGTTTGTCATTACTCTAGATGTGCACAAATCCAAAGTTTTATTGCTCATCCTTCTTGCACTTTCCATGATTTACCAGTTTAAATTTGGTGATGACTCATATGCAAACAACACAATCAATCATACATCAATCATTCAAATCATTCAAGTTTCCAATTTAATTCTTAATTTATTAGTGACAAACAACATTCATTATTGAATCCTTTAACTACCTCGGTGTATAAACACCTTAAATGCATAAAGTACCTCATATACACAATCTTGTTTTATAAGACTTTAACTCTTCCTTTACTCATTCCATTTCAATACAGATGAATAAGTAATTAAAATGATTCATTCCATATGTATACTTGTAGCTTTACTTCTAAGCTCTCCTTGTAAAGTATTGCATAAATAGTACTCATAAGGAAAAATCAATTCAATCTCTCATACATGAATTAAAACAATCATCACATTGATCATCAATCAACTCATTACCAAACAATTTCAACCAATCCACAAGTTCCCTAGCATGATTCTAGGTTTTTCCAAGTTCTAAGAATGCTCCTAAAATCAACGTTCTTCGTATTCTTGTACGTACCTTGAGTACACAAATTGGTTGGCCACTTGAAGGCTAAAAGTCACCTTCTATGAAGTCATCTCCTAAACATAACAACAATAGCTCAATTAATACCCAAGCAAACTATTTTACAGCAATACTAAACTATTTTAAAAATCCTTTAAATCATTGAAATAATGCTCTTAAATTATTCCCAATAGCCAAAGTTAATAATTTAGTACTTGAACTATGATTTTATATGCTAAAATCATATAAGTATAGCTTATAGCATAAAAATTCAGCACTTTAAAGTAAAATTATAAATCTGAAAATTTAGTTTAAAGTTACAAAACAACCGCATAAACATTTTAATTTGAAATAATCGTTATATAGCACGTTAGTATGTTGAGAACTTGAAAATCAATCATAAAACCATGATTTAAAGCTATTTAAAGTTGGGGTTAAAATCTGAAATTTTAGTTTAGTAGTGGAATATGGGGATATAATCATCTAAACTTGGAATATATAATTAGAATTCGATTATATTCATAAATACCCAACTAAACTTTCAAATTTCACAACTTAAACCCTAGAATATACATAATTTGAAATCTGAAATTTAGTTTATAATCAAGGTAATTGAATTTAAACATAATTTTATACATACTATAATTAAATAATTTAATCTTCCTGGTTTGAGCCTAAAAAATCAGCTTTCTTAAAAATCTGAAAATTATTATACTCATCAAAAATTAAGGTTAGGATCATAATTAATCACAAGGGAAGTAATTAAATCAATCATTCACGTTTTATGCCTAAAATCATGAAAAATCAACGTTTAAACCCAAAATCAGCTTTTCTGAAAATCTGAATATTACATATAACCATCGAAAATTAAAGGTAGAACCATGTTTAAAAACAAGGTAATTAATTAAATCAATTATTCATGGTTTAAGTCTATATTTTGCCAAAATCACGATTTTTGAAACCTAATTTCGTAGGTAATAAAATATGAAATTAATCATGTGCTTAGTATATCATAAACTCAACAAATTCGCAACATAACCCAATAAATTTGCAATATTCATCATTTATATGCATAATCAAATCAATAATTCATATAAAGATTAAATCTTTAAGAAATTAAACAAGAAAAGAAGAAGATAAAAGAGAAGGGAAGTGAGGGGAAGCCGGCTGGTGCCTGACGGTGCTGCGGTGGTGGACTACGGCTGAGCGCAAGCGGCGGCAGCAGGCTGGGTAGTGGTGGAGCAGCAGCGCAGGTGAGTTTTTTTTTTGAATTTTTTTTTTGTGTGTGTGTGTTTCGTGAATGAGGCAGGGAAGCAAGGGAAAGGGAGTAATAAGGAGGAGCAGTATGAGGGTTTTTGGGAGAAGTTTACTTAATTAGAAAAATGAGGGTTTGGGCTCTTTTATTTTTTTGTAGAAGTAGAATGGTAATCATAGCCCAAAGTGAGTAGAATGCTATTGAAATATAAGTTTTTGTTTTTATTTTATGAATTCTTTCCAAAATATTTTAATATACATATAAAATTATTAAAAATAATCGTATACATAAAAATATATAATTATTATTTACTAAGAAAAATATGGGGGATTACATATGATGTTGCTTCATCCCACTTGGTGAATTAATTAATGGCATTAAGGATGAATTCACGGCCCCCTAATCCAGGTGGAGAGATTTTTCCAATGATATTTATTCCCTTAGTTGAGAAAGGCCATGGAGATGTGTAAGTGTAAAGGAGGGAAGGTGGAACATGTTGCAGGTTGGCGTATATTTGGCACTTTGTATACCTTTTTACATATTCATGGAAATCCCTTTTCATGGTAGTCCAATAATAGCCTTGGCGCATGATTTTCTAGACAAGCATTATAACATTCATGTGTGTTCATTGTTGATAAGTACATATTGTGAGGCTAATAATTACCCTTTGTGCCTCATTTTTGTCTACACATAGGAGAGCTCTTCCTTTAGGCACTCTTTTTTTGGAGCTCATTGTTGATAAGTACATATTGTGAGGCTAATAGTCTCAAAGCATGTTTCCCTCTTATGTCAGTATTAGGTGGATATTCCCCTTTAGTGACATAATTGAGAATATAATGTCTGTCTACCATGGTTCTCCTTTGTCATCCAAAACTTCTTCTTCATCATTAAGGGCTTGGACATAAGCAGGTTTATGACTTTTCCCTATGGTCAAAGGAATTTGCTCGGTTTCCTTAAGAATTATAACCATTAAGGCTAGTCTTGCTAAGGCGTCAGCGAATTGATTCTCTTCTCTTCGTAGATATGTATATTGTACCTTATCGAGTTGATTGGTCAGAGTTTCTAAGTAAGTTTGTTATGGAGCTAGACTTTAACTCCTCACCTTCCATCTCTTAAAATCTTGTTGATGATGAGGGATGAGTCTCCAAATATTCGAAGCTTTTTTACTCCATGTGCTAATACTGTTTCGAGACCCACTACAAAGGCTTCATATTCTGCAGCATTGTTAGTTATGTCAAACTCAAGTTTTATTGAAATTGGGATGTGCTCTTCATTAGGTGACACTAGTAAAACTCCTACGCCACATCCACTTTGATTTGATTCGCCGTCGAAGTGTAGTATCCTAGTGTTATCTTCGGTGACAAGTAACTCTTCTTCTGAGAACTCATTTTCTTGTACTAGTGTTGAGTCTTCAAGTGGGAAGTTGGCCAAGAAGTCAAAAATTGAAGATCTCTTAATGGACTTTTAGGGAACAAATTTCAGATCAAACTGGGCTAATGTAACTATCCACCTTGATATCCTTCTATTAAGTGTGGATTTTTCAAATAGATACTCGAGAGGATCTATTCGAGATACTACACGGACTATATGAACGAGCATGTAATGCCTTAGTTTCTTTGTGGCCCACATGAGTACGAGGCACAATTTTTCAAGTGGTGTATAGAAAACCTTGTATTCAAGCATCTTCTTACTTAGGTAGTAGATTGCGTTTTCTTTACCTTCTACTTCATGTGCGAGCATAGCCCCCATTGTTTCTTTGGTGACTATTAGGTAGAGACGAAGGGAAATG